GCAATCAGGGACTACCAGGGCTTCTCAGCGCGGCTGAGCATCTGTGTCCCAAAGTCTTCAGGACTTCTGAAAGCCAGGAACCCCACGCTGGTGGCTCAAGACATCAAAAAATAGAAGCATTCACTTGATTAGAGAATCAGACTAAAAACTGGCTTAAGCATTCTTTTGACTAGCTGAAAAGAACAAAGATTGCAGCTATCCCCTCCAAAAACAACAGGGAGAAAAATGAGATGGCTGCTGCCCTCCCCCTCACCTCATCAGGAAAACTAGAAGAAACAACATGCAAGTTCTATTAGTGATCTGCCATGTAACCAACAGGATCTCATGTAAATGGAAAGTATCGGACAACCTGCCTTTAGAGGCTCATCCTGTTTTCCTAGAAGCATCCGTCACGACAATCAAGCACGACACTCTCCCTCCTAGCGCAGACGTATCACTATAAAATACAGAAGCGGCCCCACCACAACAGAAACCACAACTTAATTATTTTGTGTCATTGGTAATAGCTACTGTGACAGCCACATTTACTAACTCAACTCTCTCCAGGAATAGTGCCAAGAGAAGCAGAAAACAGTAGCAGGCCAAATTTTTTACTCTCACTTCTTAACTGCACAAGGATGCTAACCGTGCGATGGGTGATCCAAGCAAAAAGGACTTCTGGGATGCTGCTCCAGGTGGCTCCCAGGAGGTATAAGTATTTATTATTTAGTGTATGAATTCCCTGGAGAAGTCACTGAAATAAAATTCTTTGCTACTACTACCCCACCAAGCCACATGCATGCTGACTAGGGAGAAGCTAGTGGTCTTAAAGGAAGAAACATTAATATTAAAAAAAAAAAAAAAAAAAAAAAATTTCCAGATCTGCGATGTCGTTTATGGAGAAATTTTGTTCCAGAACAGTAATACATGTCTATGTGCACACGTGGACCGCAGCAGAAAAAGTATGGTTGTGACAGATGCCATTTTCTTAGCACACATCTAAAAGTGACGATCTTTAAGGGATATGTACAGATGAAATCCTGTAATTGCTGGCTCAGAACGCATGTCAAAACCTCACATCTTCATATACCAGCCTAAAGCCCAGTCCCCACCTCACTGCAATTCTGTAAAAGGTCAGCAGCATAGAGCCATCTGAATTTAAAAGCGAAGTCTTTTCACCAGCACGGAGAAGACCAGCGGTTCTTGTGGTATACATTCACTTTGTTCAAGCCAATGACGCATCCTTTTTCCCAGGGAAAAGCTAAAAATGAAAAATGGGAATTGCAAACATTGTGTGATAAAATACGGCACGGAAAATTTCCTTACCATCGCATGCTGTCAAAACTCAAGTCCTCACCCTAAAACCTGTGCCTCAGCATAGATATGGAAAGATCTACTTCCACTGTGAGTGCAACTCAAAAATTGCATCTTGAATCATCAATGACAGAAGGAACTCAATGTCGTATTTCTCTCCTGCACTACAGTACACATGCCTCTTCCATTCAAGTCATTCCAATCATTTCTTTCCTCTTACACCAGTTTTCAATAAGCTGAATGCCGACAGCATCTTCTATTATCACATCAAAGCCAAGAAAGGAAAAGAATTGCCCTTTAATCATTTTGAGACATCAGGCAAACAGTATTTCTCTAAGTATGTGTGGAAAGCATATATGTAAGAAGACAATATTTTTAGTTTCCTAATAGCCAAACCTCAGATAGATTCTTCTGGATTTCTGCCTTCTTCGTGTTTCAGCACATTTCCACTTCAGCACTGTTGCTGACTTCGACTGCCTGACAACATATGTCTTTTTCTGGCAACGCAGCAAATGTAGACCAATCTATTATTAGATTAGATCTTTGAAACTGCAAAGCTTACACTGTGTATGGAAGTAATACCCAAGCTTGCACAGAGCAGGAAAGCATGTGTAGGATGCAGCAACAGCATCATTTCAGTTTGCAAACAGCACTCAAGCCTCCACGGGAGAAGCAAGCAGGCAGGAAAGCATACTGGTTGGCCCCGCTTGCAGGTCCGCATCAGAAGTGTCTCCTCAAGACATTTGGTCCCCGGGCTTGCCTAGACCACAAGGGCGATACTACTGGAATGAACGCGACTTCCATTGGTTCTGGGTCACACATAGAGCGCGCCTTTGTGGGAATACTGCTATGTGTCATTCGAAAGTTCAGCACAGCTGATGGTCTTTAAGGAAGCCACAAGTCCTACCTTCTCATTTACAAGGAAGCTACTTAGTTTATTGTTGCCTCGGCAGGGCAAAGTGTTGCAAAGCTGTTTGTTCTATGGAAAAGATCCTTCCCAGAAGCAGGTGAGCGGCTGGCCTCCCCACATGCCAGAAACCATGGCCAAACGCCATTCAAAAGCTACATAATGCCCAAAAGGCATTCAAATGCAAAGTCTGGAGGTAACCCAACAGTTTGCAAAGAAGCAGTTGAACTGAATGGGAATTAAGAAGCAGCAGCAGAAAGTTGATCTGAGTGAATATGAAAAACATAATTTGTTGGGTTTTATTCCAGGCTGCCTTCTCATTTTAGATGGGAAGGGATTTGTATGCTTCAGTCTGTACATTGTCATGATAATATATATTCTCAGTACAGAAAGACAGTCTCATGCTAATCATCTAATTCTTGGTGATCTTAACTTTGCAGTTTTATAAATAATGACAAGAGGTGGATTCTAGTACGACATATTGTGAAATGTATTTAGGAAAGCAGTAAAGAACACTTGTGCTGCTAATGCGTTTTGACATATTTGTGTAACATGTTAAGTACTTTACACCATCTAATTACAAGACTATACAGTTAAATGGCACTGAAAATTGCAAACAGTGAAATGGTTGGTGTTTTCTAAACAGCATATTTGTTTGTTAGCCAAAACACTTCGCCATCTTTTTGGTGAGGCTGATAAAACACAGCTTAGCTGGACTCCAAAGACAAAAAAAAAGCCCCTTGCAATAGGTGTCAGTTGACTTTCCACTCAACGCTCAGATCAGAAAGTGGTGGGTTCACCTTTCTTATAGTAACTTAATTCTGCAGCCTGATATTAGAAGGCTGCTACCCTGTTAAAAGGAGCATTATTGTTCATATGAGCTGTTCAAACAAACTCCGCACTACCGTCCCTACCAAGAGAAACACTAAAGATGTCACAGCACTGTTAGAAACGGTCAAAGGACAACAGCAACATTCCTTCCAGTCATTAGTCGTGCTCAGATCTGGGACGGAGACATTAGCAAATACAATCAGGGACCGCCTAAAGAGTCACTGTGATAGCAGAGTTTGGTTCATTACAGAAAGTTAATCATTTTCAGAAACAACACAGAACAAAACTAACAGATTTGTGGCCAAGGAAAGCAAGTATTCATGAACAGACATAAATTCAGGGAAGTTCTACAGCTATGCCAAAACTTCCAACATGATAACCATGATGATCTTGTCTAACCCATAATAATAATAATGACAGTTTAAGCTACAGATTACATTGTGTAAAGTTAAAAGGGGGGACCTTCAGTCAACCCCTCTCCCTGCTACTTTTGTGTAGCTGGGGAAGTTATCTAAGCCTTTATTTAGACTTTGAGACAAATGGGAGCAGAATAATAGAAAAATGATCGGCACCCTGAAGGAACAGAAATCAAGACAAAACACAAAAAGGATG